TAGATGAAAGCCCAAAATAGCGAAAAAGATGTCATCCGATCGAAAAATTGCGCATGCCAAATTTTCCGAATTAAAATAGCGAACGCGTTCATTGATACGTTATATTTAGCTTGAACAGATTTACTTACCTGGAGTTTTCTAGCTTGACATCGAAATTTCAACAAAATTCCAGAACTATTTCACTTCATCACTCGATCATGGGAAATATTTGCCACTTTTAAAAAATGTATAGAATAACTGTTAAAAAATATTTGAGGTATAACGCGCGCGCTGATTGGCTGGCTACTGTGTTTATATCAGAGGACAGAGAAACTCGCGAGAAATCGTTCAAAAATATTTCATATTAAGCGATATAAAACGTCCGCTTGTGTTTATATATAGAGCAGGGTTCCCAGCCATTTTCAAAATAAAAATTCCCTGATTTTTCACTGACTTTTCCCTGACTAAATATCAGTTTTCACTTAACTTGTTGGGCCGCATGGGCAAGCATGGGCCACTTGCCTGACTTTAACTTACACCCTGTTCTTATCATATTACACAGTATACCCAACGTAATTAAACTGTCCTGCATAAATGATACTATTGCACCAGTCATGGGGGCATAAAGTGGATTTCACCGCATTTTCACATGTATTTGGTTCCCTGGTGGTCGGGGAAAGCGCTTCAATTCACAGCTTCGGCTGCAACCCAGGGACTGACCGGGGACTGCACTTTTCAATTTTGGGGACTGGGACAGAGTGAGCTCCTCGTGTGAGTTTACGTAGTCATAATGGATGAGACGAAGACGGTAAGATTGTGGGTTGTCCTTCACGAATTTGTAAGATGTGATCCTATTGGAGGGCACACATGTGTAGAACAATAGAAAACAATGACCTTTCCCCAACCCCTCCCCTAAACCTAACCAATCACAGATTTTCATCGCATTTAATTATTATGTTTTTCTAAGCCATCGATCGGAAAATGGATGTCAAATGACTGGTGCATAATGCACTATAGAAATGAAAAATTATGATTATTATGTAATAAGTCTTTAATCAAGGAAACCAGTAGTATTTTGGAACCCAAAAATGGTCTATTGAGGGTGATAAAGTTTTAGACTTAACACTTTGGGGAACAAAATAAAGTCATTTTATTTTTTTTTTCCCCCTTTAATAGGGCTGAACAGCTGGCTGGTTGAAGAAAAAAACTTTCCCCCGGGGGGGGGGGGGGGGGGGGAGGGTACTCCGCCAGTATTGGGATAGGGGTGTTCCGCTGGGATTCTGAAAGAGGTACCCTGTTCCCTGTTTATGACAAAAAAATCAAATTTGTAGACCCTGTTAATGACAAAAGATATAATTAATTGCACTAAGCTCCTGTTTCAATTATCATGTCATCTCGCGTATCGTTTTTTT